CTCCACCCCTCCCCCCGCCTTCCCCTTCTTCCAATTCAAGTCCAAATCCACTACTTCTTTCTCCTAGCCCTCACAACCAACCCACTTTTCATCCCAATTCAACCTCTCTTCTTTGAACCTTTACCAATTTCCCTTCTACTCCCCTCAAAAAAGAGGCAGAATAGTCACACCCACACAATTTCTTCCTATTCCACCCCATCCCTCTAATCCCCAACTTCCCCAGCTAGCATAACAATACTCATAAGATTTCAAACCATACATTCCCGTTATTACTATCCTCCAGTCTCCAATCTTGATCTCTATCCCAATATTATGCTTTTCTATCCAAAAGATCACATACCCGAACCTCCACTATTACCAATACCAATCTCTCCTATCCCCTAGAGTGCGGGTTTATGGCGCCCAAAGTGGTCTGTGCACCGAATAAGAACATTTATAGCTTTATAAATAATATTATATATAAAGATTTCAATATTATATTTGAAAATTGAAATTTATTAGAAAAGTAATAATAAATATATTAACTATATCTCTATAGTTTTTGAATTACAAAATAATAATTAAATGATTTTAAAAATATTATTATATTTCATTTTCTCAAATAAAAGTATTTATAAATAATTTCTATACAATTTATATTTAAAAATATATATCAAATCAAAAACTCGATATTTATTAAAAATAAAAAGTATAAATAAAAGATTATATAAAATTTTAAAGAATATATTATTTGTTTTTATCAAAATAATAAGCATTGAATAACTATTGTAAAAAAATGTATTAAAATAATAAGAATTCTCAAGATTCTGATGTTCTGATTGGTCAATAGATCCTTGTTAAGCGAGGGCGCCGTAAACACGTACTCTAGGGGATACTATTTTCATATCGCCAAAACAGCACGACTGATACATCCTCAAGAGCATCCAAACTTCGAACCCTCCTCGCCAAATCTCACACCACAAAAATTAGACGCCCTACTTCCCATCTCTCATCTATCACAAATCCCGAGAGAAATCAATACTAATCTCCAGCTCCACCCCTATCTCCATCTCCATACTCTAACCCATACGATAAATCCCAAAGCCAAATCTCCAACCCCCAAACTAAAATATCCCAACTCAATGTCCATCAACCATCACGATTCCTTCTAAGTCTTCCCTCCCTCCCCAAACTAGCACACATACAAAATCCTCATCCAAATCATCATCCAAATCCCCATCCACATCTTTATTCACATCCTCATCCCTATTTCGATCTCTATTCCCATCCCCATCCCCACCATCCAACCCACCCACCCACCCATATCTCCCCTGCCCACTTCACACACACACCCCGCCCTCACACTTAAACTCCCACACTTCAACTCCCACCATAAACTCACACCACAACACACCACAATACCTACCTACCTACCTACCTACCTACCGCTTCTCCATCCTACCCCTTCTCCAGCTCTTTCCCTCTTCCCCCTTCCCCCTCACCAATAGCCATCCGAATCCGACATCCAAAAACCCAACTCTCAATACCAATACCAACTCCCCACCCCCTATTTCCAACTATCTCCTCGCTTAGTATATCATAACTAGGTACTTGACTAGCCTAAGTAATATCACTATCATCTGAATATATTGAATCCAGTTGGATACTTAGAAATATAGATACATACAAACATAGACATATTACCTTCATCCGTCATCAATCCATCAATCCATCAATCCATCAAAAAGTTCTCCAAATACCAAGATCAATATCAAATAATCTCACTTATCACAATCCATCCACCCATCCAATCCCTCACTACAAAAACAAGACAAAAAAAACTAACACTTACACTCAATACCTAATCTACCTAGCCTTACTAATAATCCAATCCAACTCTACTATAACCACACATACACAACCCTCCCCCTCCCCCTCTCAAGTTACCAATCCACATATAATAAATCAGACAATGAAATATAATCTCTAACAAATCTCATCTCTTATAATTAGTGACCACATCTCTTCACTCTTCACTTCACTTATCACTATTCACCTTACAGCCCAAGAAATTTCAAGATCGTTTACTCAAATTTAGATACCTCCAGCTAGGTACATAAGTTTTCCCTCCCTTCTAATCTATTCTCGCTAATATCTATCCGCAGGATTTTGACTTCGAGGTCTGGATGTCCTGTACCTACATAGACCATATAATTCATCACCACCCCTACATCTTCCATTCAAATACTCTAATCACTATCCTCCTCCTCACTATCTTCCTCCTCCTCCTCCTCCTCCTCCTCACTACTCTCCTCACTCTCCGCCTCTTTCAACCACTCAACAAACACTCCCGTCCTCTCCCTCACCTTCTTCATCTCCGCATCCCCACCCTCCTTTCCATCCCCTCCACTTTCTGCCTCCTCCCACCATCCCAAAATCGCTTCTTCAGTCACCACATCCCTCTCATACAATTTCTGGCAAAGACTCGCCATAACCGGTGCCCCGTTCTGTTTCCCCACCAATCCCTTCTGCAAACAAACCAGGAATTCCTTCATTCCCTCTTCATCCCTCTCAATTCCCACCGCGACCTCTTCCAAGAATTTCTGCGCCCCCGCTACACTCAATGCCTGCACCGTTGCTTCAACCGCTGTTTTCGTTCCGGCCGTTACAACTTCCGCTATGAATTTCGTAAAAGCCGCTGCGATTGCTCTGCGAATTTGATAATCATCCGCATCATTACTTAATCTCAACCCCATAAATTCCAATTTCGCACCATCAAAATCCCCATTTTCTCTTAATGTATCAAGAAGCCCTTGAACAGCATCATGATGGAAGGATTCTGAATTACCATGTCCATGTTCATCATCCGAAAGAGAGCCCGCGAAACTGGAGTGACGGGATCGAGTATCAACTTCACCGGCTGAAATTTCGGATGAGATGGTAGAGATGGATTCGCTAGAGATATTGAGATGTGCGGTTGAGTATATGAGACTAGAGTGAAAGGCACTAGATTCTTCATCTTCGAATTCTTCTTCGTCGATGAATTCATATCCTTCTCCGCCTTCTCCAACGATTTTAGGGTCGTTGGGTGTATCGTCATCAGACTCAGAATCATCCTTTGCTCTCTGTCCGGTTGTAATGCGTGATCCTTTAGCGATTTCAATTCCATCAGCTATCCTCACACCAAATGAAAGAAGTGATCCTCCACTAATCTTGCACTTTTGTCCAATCAAAACATTATTAGCAACTATAGTCTGCTCCACAGATGATCCATCACCAATGATAACATCATCCCAAATATAAGCGTTCTTAATCGTGACATTCTTCCCGATTCGACAACCTCTACCTATAGTACTATTGATGATCGTCGAACCATCTCCTATACTCGTGCCTGCTCCCAATACAGTTCTTCTACCAATCTTGCAAGTTCGAGCTAATATGACACCGTTTTCCTTGCAAAATCCACCTCGTTGGAATTTATATGTTTGTCCTGCGACTAAATTGCTATCTGGAACAAGAGGATATGTCCATCTTCCCAGAACATCCTTGGTTATAGCTTCATAAGCTTGTAGATTAAATGCTCGAGCTGCGTAATGATCTGTTACGATCTCTGTGTGAATAGTCTTTCCATTCAACTCATAATCTTTCAATACACCATGTAAGAAATGTCTTCTAGGAACCTCGTAGTCGAAAGATTCCGCCCATAATGCTAGTACATCCGGTGTACAAATATCGATACCACAATCAATAAAATCCGTTCGAATCTCTATCTCGGAATTTTCTGAAATTATGTCCGGATCGAGACTGAGATATTTATTCGATTGAAGAGGGTTCATCTCTTCATAATGAAGACATCGGTTCTTCGTTGGATCCAAAACAAAAACCGGTGTAATACCATTCGATTTTGTTCTATGCTCTTCCAATCCAGCCGATCTTAAAATCATAGTCATAATAGCATTTTTATTCGCATATCTCCTCGCTCTATGTGCGGCCAACGCAGCATCAATCGGTAAATTCGAGACCAAATCCCCATGAACCAGTAGAAAATCCCCCGTAATCCAATTTCGCGCGTCCAAATCCCGCATCGCATCTCCAACCGAGTGGGCCGTAGTTTTAACAATCATGAGTTTGCTGAAAGGTGACGAGGGCGAAGTTTGTGGATCCCATTTGGAGTTATGAAGGTATTCTTCTACAGCTTCGGTATGTGCACCACAGTATATATAGATATCCGCGACACCGGACATGGCGAGAAACTCGAGTGTGTATTCGATGAGAGGAGTATTGGCTAGAGGTAACAGACATCTTGGTGTGTTCAATGTAAAAGGATTAAACCTCGTCTCAAAGGAATCGGCCAGGACCACAGCTTGCAATGTCTCATCTCTCTCATCTTCTTTCTTTCCCCCACCTGCCGCAGCACCCTTTTTGCCTTTAGAACCACCTCCTTGTGCTCCCTTTCCTCCAACCCCGCCAGCATTCTTGGTGGACTTTGCCGATTGTGCCATATTCGTTTGCTTGTATATCTCTTCTTTCTAGGAAGGAAAAAACTCTCTTTATGTGCGGGATATATAGATAGTATTTCGACTACTATATTTCATAAAGGAACGCGATTATAATGACAATCGATACCCTTGTATAAAACTACGTTCTAAGGTCCAATAATTAATTGAGGTTGAGTTGAGAAGATATAAATCCAAAATCAATGAAAATCGAGGGGTAGAATAATTAGTTGCTTGGTTGAGTTGACTCATTCATAGCCTTTCCATTCATTAGCTTATTATTGTTAGGTTTTTTTTAGCATTTGGTGGGGTTGCAGCCTTCCGTACTTATTTCCCGCATTTCAATTTCAGCCTCGTCTTGTGCCTCGCTTCCTTGAAGGCTCACTGCATATATCATCACGAGTCTCTAAGAATCTAGACCTTGAGGTGGGCTGACGATCTAGATTTCTTATCCTTAACCAAGTGTATATAAATGTCAGCTCCATCCCTTCACGGCCATCATTTTCATGTCTCAAAAAAGTGTCAACTTGGGTATTCAATTTTTTTATATTTTATCAATCTAAAAACCTATGAATAGTTTTCGACCGTCAACAATTCTAGGTAGCTAATAAATAGCTATACTTGTTTCTCAATCTGTCAATTCTGCGTATCGAAGTCCCGAGTTGGATTACTTCGACAATAAATCAGACATATATCGACCTGTCCGATTTCCCGGCTACTCGTTCATCCATATAAACGCCCCGTCCTGTCCCATCCGATTCCAGACCAAACCATGCCATGATTCGCATCTAAGTTTTTTCTAATCATTCAACAAACACCGAGATGCCTTCATGGCTCGCTGGATATTGTTCTCGTCAAACCGTCCTGCTCGCGAAAGAAATATAAAAGAAGCTACTATCTGAGCTTTTAATGTCCAAAAAATTTGTCCGGCAGTGATTAGATAATTAAATCTAAATCAGGGACTGAGAAAAATATACAAATTAAAAGACCAATCGAGTCAATAGCGATGGAGTGCAGAATCTTTGAGAATTGATCTGTCGGAAAGATACCTAGCAGAAGTTTATGGGACTGAAGGAGGTAAGTCAAGGTCCTGAGCCAAGGTCCTCATCAGGTAATCAAGTATTGTAGCTTGGGTTATTCTTGCTTGATCGAACAACAAGCTTTTTAAAACGGGGGGCTCGTCTTTTTGAAATAAAAGTAGGCAGTTGAGAAAGATATTTCAGCCTTGCTGGTAGTTTCCAGGCGGGGCATACATTCTCTGGCGTTTTTGATCAGAATTGCCATCCGGGGTACTGGCACCACTTATATCGGATATGCCTCTCCTATGTGGAGGTCTCTGATTACCTAAACCGGATAGAGGCGGAGCGAAACCAGATTGAGAATGAGGATGGGTTGGGGTCACAGAATATGATGGGTCTCTCATCCCATTAGTAGGCTGCATATAGCTACCTGGGGCCGAGGTTACAACTGGAGACCCCCCTGATAATTGAATTGGCGACTGCCAAGATGTAGCAGTTTGAGGTGACTTTCCAGAAGCTGTATCATCTACTATGGACTGGGTGGCAGTTAATTGACCCATGTTTAGACCCAATGGAGGGTGAGACTGCGATTGAGTTGGGGTAACAAATCCACCCGGATGTGACATTGGTCCAGGGCTTGAGAAACCGATCGAAGGCGCATCCTTTCTGAAATGAGCCAAGTGTTTCTCAAGTGCTTTCATCATACCCTCTTTCGTGAAAGGTTTCGGTAAGACATCATTCATACCTAGTCAAGTCAGTATTGGAAAGATGAAATGTGTGTGTATATGTGTAATGTGACTTACCGTAACGGAAGTACATTTCAATGTCATCAGTTCGAATATTTGATGTCATTGCAATGATGGGAATGTTTGCACGTATTTCTCGTATGCAAACAGTCGCAGACACTCCATCAAGGTGCGGCATAATAATATCCATTAAAATGAGATCGAAATGATTCTCTGCACCAAGGTTGATTTTGCTTACTGCCTCGAGGCCATCACGCTATTGAGAGTAAGCTTTGAATGCACAACAAAGCGCACAAACGAGGTAAAGACTTACTGCTATATCAACTCCACATTCAAATGATTCCAAGAATTTAGTTCCAATTCGTGCGCATACCTGATCATCCTCTACCAGTAAGATCCTGGGCTTCCGTTCACCCCAAATCGAAACCATACCCTTCTTACGCGGACCGGGTGCACGAGGAGGTTGGGGCATCAGCTCGGCAGGGGGCATACTGTCCCTTGGCATCAATCCTTGAGGGGGAAGCGCGTATGGAATGTTATTGACATGCTGTTGATCGATTGGATCAATACCGACGATAGCACCAACAGGATAGACCAAGTTATCCAATTCGGATTTGTCCATAGAATAGCCCGTTGTTGGGGCATTCACTGATTCTGAAATCGGAGGCATTGAAACAAGTCCGCCTGGATCATTTGGGGGAGTTGAGTAATCTTGTCGTAAATGATAATCGTGACTCATTTGTTCTAACTCTTTGCTGGGAAAATTCTCGGCCGATAGTTGCCCAAGAAGGCTTCGAGCTTGAAGCAATGGAGTTGACGGATGACCATCTTCTGTAGGTCGGCCGAGCATGTTGGGCCCAGCACCATTTGAAAGTCCTGGAGCCCGACCATTCCTTCGTTGCGCGTCCTGACCAAACAGATGTCCAACGAGACCATGCATAACTCCTTCATGGTTTTTGATGAACTTTTGAGCATCGACAACTTGTTGTAATAGCATTACGTTGAGCTGTGCTAAGTCCTGATAACTCCGAGAGAGACCCTGTAACTGTTGTTGAGTGGCGGCGAGCTGATTACCAAGGAGATCCATTTGCTGTTGGGCATGAGCCGGATACGTTTCTTCATTACTCTGAGCAACCTTCCTCGGAGCTGGTGCCTTTCGTCTGATATTATCCAGTGAATCCTTTTTGTTCGCTTGGAATTCGGGATGTTTAAATTCCCAAGCCTGTATATAAATTAGTTTGCCGCCTTTGTATAGTTAGAAATAGCACGCACATTTTGCCCATAAGGAGATTGTGTGTTATCCTCATTATTCTGTCGGACCTTGTGGAAATCATATTTGTTCAGCTGCCTAACAAAACTAGCAAAGTTGCTGTGTTTGAAGTGCTTCGGGAGGATTTGTTTGGTAAATTTCTCGTTCTATATCTTCATATTAATACCGAATCAAGATTCAACAACTTCCCCATTTGAAGACCTACTTCGAGAACCACAAAACTCTCTCCTGCTTCACCCCACCGTACTATGCTTTCATATGTTGGGTCTTCGAGCATTCTAAAGATTTGGCAGAATTAGCGGTTTGTCGCATGAATAATTATCCAATTCGGACATCGAACGAGCTATTTTCTTACTTGTATAATTTTCGGACCTGTGAGAGATATGTTAGTCATTGAAGATATTTCAAATATTTGCGCCATCACGTCGCGAAAAGGTACGAGTAATGTGTGTATGTATACTTACAAAGTCGCTGGAATTGTTGGCGGAAGGACCAGCCATATCTCCACCCTTCTCCATCATATTTGCGCGGGAACCTGTCCGATGACAGGAATATCAAGCGATATTGTTCCCTTCCCCCCAAAGAACCTGGTTTGTCGACGACGATGTGGGCGAGGATAACCTCTATATAGATAGAGACGGGAGTATATATAAAAAAAAGGGACGATGATTCCAGGTACCTAGTAGTACAAATGACCTTTTTCTAGATGCACGGGCCGTCGCGTCGGTCGAAAAAAATAAAAAGAATGCCTTAAAAGGTGCTAAAGTGTAATAAAAGCTGTAGGCCAACACACACGGTTAACGGGAAGTCATTTTTGGAGAATCCCGGAGGATTATTTGAGAAACGAGATTTGAATGATGATATGGGTGAGGTGAGTGATAAGGTGATAGAGTGATAAACGATGATGTTTTTTTCCTGGGGTATAAGGTATCGATCGGATTGGGGACAACGACTTACAAGAATTGATATTGAAGAGAATGAATGGATGGATGGATGGATGGATATTGAAGGGATACAAACAAGCAATCTAGAACGGGAAGATTTTCCAGATCTCAAGAGGTCCGGCTGTGTGTATGTGTATGTGTATGTGTAGGTATGTGAGGGTAGGTATGTGTAGGTATGTGTGTGTGGTTCTATTAAAAGGCTGCAGATCTAGAACTCGAGGAACAAGAGAAGGAAGGATAGATGAAGAAAGAAGGTTTGATGCGTATATCTTTGCTGCGGCTGCCCTTTTTTTCGTCTCTCTCTTTTCTTCTTCTTCTTCTTCTCCTCAAATTAAGTGTGACATTATAGTTTTCTAAGTGTGAGGTGTATATAGTATGGTACGAGGTGTGATGAGAGAAAGGGTAGTGCGGCTGGTGCCAAAAGATATAAAATGAACGATACAGCACGGAGGCGGAAGGGTTAGAGGGTAGGAGGACAGCGGGTAGCAGACAAGCAGGCGAGTAGGCGAGTAGGCGAGTAAGAGGTAGAGTTCAGAGTCTAAAGTATATTCAAAGTTCAAAGTCCAAAGTCCAAGGTCCAAGAATTGGTGATTGATCCAGCTAGTTGCTACAATTTAATGAACCCACGATAGGTATCAGGAAACACTTCGTACTATTAGCAAGAATATCAAGTTTAATCCTGGTGAAGTGGAGATTCCTTTTGAAAGTTTAAAAACCTTAGATGTGATTTAAATCATATTAGTCTCGACTAGGAAGTAGACCATACCTATATCAGATCAACTAATACCAATACGGCTGATGGTGGGTGGACTGCGGGTGTGCTGGGAGTATTCACGAGATGTGTATGGAGTATTCTCTCTATCTTGCTGCATAATCATGGATTATACTCGAGTCACTCACTCGCTCAGGGTCACTTATCACTTTTTTCTTCTTGCCCTTTCCTCTGTCTGTGCTGTGTTGTACTCCTGTGCCTTATTCTTTTATTTGCCGACGAAAACTTTCCATGAACCCTGAACATCAGGCAATCCGCAATGAGAAAACGAGACAAGGATGGAGGCGAAGGAGAAAAAACATCAAGATTCATAGAGAGGGACGGGACTTGGGCTCACGCACGAATTAGATGTCGAGAAAAGGGTGAGAGGCTGCTTGAGTGTTTGGATGTTTGAATAAGGGACCACCTCTTATTAATTTATTGATCTTTCGGAAGAGATCCCCGAGAGTAATAAGATTTTAAATTTTACGCATTGGATGGGATAATGACAAAAACCTTGAACCTGGAATATACGGAGTAATATTGGCAAGTGTGAAGTATGTAGTAGTAAGTAGTAAGTTGGAACTTTCATTCATTAGATACATAGCACTTACATACATATTACATATTACTGCATCTGCATCTACCTGGGTATCGGTATAACAACCTAGTAAGCATGTATATGTGCAATCGAGAGAAAAAAAAACGATTGGAGTCAAGACTTGAAGAGAATAGGGTGTGGTGGTCGTGTAGGAGGACTCTCTCCCTCATTGATCTAATTGCCGACCAAGTATTCCGCATCTCTCCACTTGATGTGTTGTTAAATGTTGAAAAGTCTTTGACGATGTGATGTACCAGTCGCAGCAAGTATTGAATCATAAAAGCTTTGATGAAGGGGCTCGTACCGAGAGAAAAGCACATGCCACCTTTACATCTTTGAGCCACAAACCAAGTACTAGGTAGAGTAGAGTAGAGGACCAGGTCGTGATAGGTGTACGGAGTAAGTACGATGGAGGAACCTAGGGAGGAATACCTACTCGAGTATGATTTATAAATACACTCCCCCTCCTTCTCTAATAAGTGCTCGTCTTGTCATGAACCATGTTACTTGGTGTTCCTCGAACCGAGCATGTGCAGGTAAGATGTTGTGTTGTGGCAATTGATCGTCACTCATTCACGCATTGTAATTTATCACAACATTTCGATTTTCTGATAGAAATTCTTTTCAACCCAATCAGAGACGAAGTATATTATTCATTTGAAAGAACTTCATATTTTAATCCCGGAGCTTCTTTCTTTCATGCTTCGAACCAATCTCATCGCATGAACAATCGACCTTTTTGTATAGATACTGGAAAATGCTATAGATGACAACATCCTTCCCCTTTATCTCTTTTCAATATGGGTTTCGTAACTTGAATAAAGTACAATAGCAATGGGAATGGGAATCGATCAGACGTTTCGAGTGTTTCCCCTCTTGAATCTTGATCCCGTTTGTTCTCTGATTTATCGGTCAAAGAAGAAGAGTTTCCACTTTTCAGCTACGAGCTGTGTGCCAAAGAGCTGGGAATGACGCAGTGGTAGCCACAGCCGAGGGGTTACGGTCACATGCCATCAGTGACCAGTGACCCTTTATGCATACGAAACATACCTACTGGCACACTGCACTGCACAGTTGCGTGTGTACTTTTCCTTTGAGATGTTTTGACGTTGCTAAGAGTTGAGAAAGAGGACGACGCGTTGAGGATCGTATACGGAGCACTCTAGGGGATAGAAACGAGCAAACGAGCATATATCTATATAAACGCATAGCTACTCGGTATATCATACGAATGAGCTAACGTGAGAATCATACTACTTATCAGCCAACATGAGAATCACGGGAATCATGAGTATCATGAGTATCATCCTACCTACTCACTACCTAGGTAGGCTCGGCTAGGTAAACGTACCGGTACTTACCACCTACTCAATCATCACGATATTCTACCTTAGACGCTATTAGACGATACATACCGTACATACGAGATGAACATATTTCAATACGAGCTTAATTCATCTGCTTCATACTCTGTAATCATTCATGTGAGTAAAGTTTAATTCCTTCTCGAGATCTTTTACAATATTTTATGTCATTTTAATAAGCCTTCCAAAATCTCCAAAGTCTCCACTACTACTTCGTACATCAAAAAAAAATCGGATATCGGCTTCTCAAAAGGATTTTTATCTCGGGATATCCACTGACATCCCACCCACCCCTCCACCTTAACTCTGTAAATTCTTATCGGATTTATCCAAAAGGAACAAAAAAGAAAGGATCTTCTGTGGTGTCTCCATACTTAACCGGCGCGCATGTCAAACTACTGACGCATGAGACGGATCCACTGATCGAAAAAAGCAGAATCATCTTGTCATGCTTTGTGGCTTGCTTACAGGACCCCCCCATGAACTTCCATGTCTTGGCTACTAATGTTGCTGTCCGCAGTTGAGTACAACTACCTGGAGATTGTACTACACTGTGTACACACTTTTCTTGATTCGCAGAACTTTCCCTACCGTTCAAACGTGGATGCACGCCGCTGATGGAAGAGATGTTGACCTGGGTTTCTCGGCATCTTCTTCTTTCTTTTGATTCTCGGAATATAATCTATGCGGGTTCACGGGAGCGATTGAGGAACCTTTAAGCCAATACGAGTACATGTTAACCAGAATCCTGCTTGTACTCAGATAACATCCAGTGATGATCCTTTCCAAAGTTTAACAAGTATGCATACATCGTCTACTCAGTACCCCATCCTTGGTTGATGAATGGGAATGTGGAGGGTACAGACTCAGCGCGAAATCCTAGTCTTTCCGCTTTAGTGGAATTTTCGTTCTTGTTTTTGTTCAGCGATAATTACATGTGTAGTGCGCCACAGAAGATGCCAAGTATCTAAAATATCACTGCCTTAAATTGTATCTACACCCTCCAGTTTCTATTTACCTTTGGAGGTCGACCGCTATCACGTGTGTCGGTTCAATGATCTCGATTATCTAGTCGAATCCTACTTCATTCCTTTGAAAGTCTCACAAAATCAGCCCAATTCTGAATTCGTTCCTGTGTCATATTCCAGTAATATTTTGGGGGGTTCCCTAAGCTCAAATCACTCTCGCACTCAAAATGATGTTTGGTGGAATCGGATGTTATTGCTATTGACGTTGAACATTCTACTCTCTTTACACTGTCATGTTGACCGCCGCCAACTACTCATAGTTTGGCGTATCGGTTCAAACGACCGAGGACCCGAGTCCATACAACATAGGAGCTTTCTCGCCAGGTGACGCGGCGATCCCTTCTTCGATAATGTATTCTTCCTTCGCTTACGGGATGACGGACATGATACGACAGATCGACTTGAAGGGTTCAATAGAGTCCAACAGGGGAGTATTATAAGAATTGTGCCGGCGTACAGAGCTGGAGCTGATCTTGCTATCGATCGGTCTGCGCGCTTAGCTATTACTCACCCAAATCCGCCGCACGCTGTCAAAAAGTTCCTGGACGGATGATCGGCATATCTCGACTAACTAGCGAAGATGTAGGGGATACTAAGAGTAGAACTCGTTACGTTGGTGGGCAAAACTGACTGAGACGAATCTTTGGAACGAGTATCTTGGGAACGCTCTACGAAGTCTTGCGTCGGATCTCAACGAATGTTGTATGGAAGAATGGTGCATTAGAGGTGTACTGGTCGCAAAAACAAAACTCCAACTACCCCTAACCTATCAACTCTTCTCATTTCTACTTGCTATTCGCAAACGCTCTCGAACTCTTTCCAGTGTCATTTCAGCTAGAGAATCGTTTGCCAACAAGTCCTCTATACCTCTGTACGCAACAATCTTGTCCTTCGATGTTTTCCCACGAATAACTTCTAGGTCGGTCTTTGGGCATTTCAATATCTACATAGGTACTGTTAGGAAATTACTCAATAATCATATTATTTAAAATACGTTAGCAAAAATAGAATCAATAACAAAATCAAATTCATACATGACTCAAAACCTCAACAACACCTTTATTTGCTTCATTATCCCGTGCTGGTTGGGCGACGCATACTTCGATTGAGGAAGATGTGTTTGAGAAGGCTTTTATACCTACTCTTGATGCGCTGGAGTTGGGTTTAACGTGACAGCTTAAATGAATGGTTTGTTTGACTATCTTGAGAAAACCACCTGCAGTATTCTTCATTGTTGGAATTATAGAGACTATTGTAGATTGTTGTACTAGGTTCTTTCAGTATCACGACCGGTATACAGAAAACATTCACTATGTGAAGCGAATGAGGGTCGAGAACCGTAGCGCTACTGTTACGCTAAACTCTAAGACGCTTAGCGCCACGGCTGGTCAAAGCATTTCGAGATTCGAGGAGAGCACCTGCAACACCAGATAGAAATTCTGGCAACGTCAAGAACTTATTAGCTATCTACCAATCGCATTTACAAAACAACGACAATTGAACGCAGAAATTGCACATTATACCAAGAACTCTTGACATCACTGTGTATCCTCTTAAGAAGCTTTCACGTTATTGTGACTCGCCTCATCATGGCGCAAACTCCAAATGGGGGTTCCAACTTCAATCAATATACAACCACGGCTTTGAATCGTTGGTCTGTTGCAGATAAACAGTTGCCTGGTAAGATGTCTTGGATCGGGAGAGATTTGGGAGTGAGGGTGGATGAATTGCTAATTTTTTGTAGCGGTGGATAAAATCAAGGCACTTCATGTTTATGATTTTGATAATACCCGTAAGTTGAACGATGTTTCGAGAGGGGCAAAGTTTACCATCCTTTTGGAGCCTTGTTCTCCTGTTTATACATATAATCTGCTAACATACCTCCACAGTTTTCAACAGCCCTCTGCCCAATCCGAAATTATGGAACGGACCCACCATTGGATTTCTACAAACTCAAGATACATTTGCGACGGGTGGTTGGTGGCACGATTCGAGAATTCTTGCAGCTACAGGTGAAGGTGTGGAGAAAGAAGAACCACGAGCTTGGAAAGGTTGGTGGAATGAGCGAATCGTTGAACTCATTCAGTTGAGTATGCAACAAAAAGATGTTCTTTCTATTCTCTTAACTGGCCGTTCCGAGGCTGGATTTTCAGAGTTACTGAAAAAAATGCTTGCCAGCAGGGGTCTCGATACGGATATGATTGTCTTAAAACCAGCAGCAGGTCCCAGAAATGAGAGGTTCAGTAGTACGATGAACTTCAAACAATGTTTCTTGGAAAGTTTGATGGAGACATATAAAGGTGCTGAGGAAATCAGAATCTATGAGGATAGAGTCAGACATGTCAAGGCATTCAGAGATTTCTTTACGGATTATAACAAACGTCAGAATGGCTCTAGTGGTA